TTTCCCTACGGTGAGACACAAGTTTTCCCTTCAAAAGTTGTTGTCTTTTAATAAATTCCCTTTTGGGGGGTTTCTTGTTTGTTTTCTGAGAAAATCGTGCGAGAAAATGAGCTTCCAAGTGCCAGATTTTATGAGGGTTTGGGAGGCAAAGTCTTTAGAAGCTAATTATGCTCGTTTCTGACGACGCTTAGGACACAAAGTTATGGGGCTTTTGATCTTCTCCCAAATGCAGATTGAAATTTTCGAAATTTTCTAGGAAAATTAACCTAGCGCAATCTGGGATTGCTTAAAGGATTGTTCTTTCTGCTCATCTGGTAGGTTTTGACTAGCTACTGATCTTGAATTTTCCAAATGTTAGCGAACTGTTTTGTTTGGTCGAATCATAGGAATGTTAGATAGAGGAGCTTTTGTCTAAGTGTTGGCACTTACCTAAACATTAGGTTTGACAATGTCGTCTTGATAACATTACCATGTTCCTATTATGGGATATGCTTCAATTTCCTGAAAGTGCATTGGCCTTTGTTGATCCTTCCCATTATCAACTCTTACACAAACAAACTTGGTAAGGAGATTGGGTATTATATATAACTTTTCGTGGAATGTCATGTGTGTTGATAGGATTACGTGCCCACCGTGTTTGACAACTTCAGCGCCAATGTGATTGTGGATGGGAATACCATCAACTTGGGATTGTGGGACACTGCAGGCAAGTTTTAGATTAGAGATCTCACTTCGGTTTCTTGTTATCTTGTTTCTAATCCTTTTGTCATAATGTTTTGACTCATTGGAACAGGTCAGGAGGACTACAATAGACTCAGACCCTTAAGCTATCGTGGGGCTGATGTCTTCTTGCTTGCCTTTTCTCTCGTCAGCAAAGCCAGCTATGAAAATATCGCTAAAAAGGTGTGTCCTTTCTTATCCGCCGATTCTTTATTTGATGATTTCAATGCCCTCATAGAATCTACTTGGTCTTTGCATATTGCTCTCTCAGTGGGTTCCTGAACTGAGACATTATGCTCCCGGGGTACCCATCATTCTTGTTGGAACAAAGCTTGGTTAGTTCCTTTTAGTTTGGATCTAAATCTTCTATTCTCATTGTCTGAACAAAGATGAGAGTGTCGATTATTGATATTCTTTCAGATCTTCGGGATGATAAGCAGTATTTTGTCGAGCACCCTGGTGCTGTGGCTATCTCTACTGCCCAGGTATCTTTTCCCTTGGCTTCGTTCCATTAAAGTTACTAATTTCATGTCATTTCACTGCCTAAGATTAGTATTGTGTTCCCTCTTTAACCATCTTGGTTTTCTTCTTCTTGCAGGGTGAAGAACTGCGGAAGCTGATCAAAGCTCCTGCTTACATCGAATGCAGTGCTAAAACCCAACAGGTACATGAAATTCTACATCTTAATGCTTATCATCTCTTACCGGTGGAATCTGTTGACAGGATGTATGTTTTAAAACTACAGAATGTAAAAGCTGTCTTTGATGCGGCTATCAAGGTTGTTCTCCAACCACCAAAAAACAAGAAGAGGAAGAAGAGAAAATCTCAGAAAGGTTGTTCTATATTGTGATCAAGAAAAAGAGTGAGTGGTTCCAGGAAGAAAGCAATCACTGCTTAAAGAATTGCGTACCCCTTTTATCCCTCTGTACAAGATGTGTCTCCAAGAAAGCAGGAATCTGTTTGTTTGTAGTCTGAATCTGACAAGTCAGATAACTTGGATTAAGAACTAAAACTTCTAGATTGTGTTCGCATCTGTAAATAAACGAAGCCAGTTGTCTTTGTTCCATAGATTCTCACGATGCCTTGGGAGATTATTCTCATGTGTTGTTGCTGACAAGTGACAAACACAAGCATGGCGTATTCCATATTGTAGTCTTTCCAGCCTCCATTTCACTTACTGAGTCCCGAGAAGAAGAAGAAGAAGAAGACGAGACATGCCTGTACGTATCCAGTGGTAATGTTAAAAGATTCTACCTCCTCTAGTCTCTCACTCACCATCTTTCTGATCTTATTCTTTCAGATTCTCAACATATTTGAATGATCCATCCAATTCGTTGTAAAGAATTTGATCTGCCTTTTTCAGGACCAAAGTGTTTCACCAACAGAGCCCTGGCCTCACTGTATCTCTAAGGCTGTAACCATTGATAGGACAGCATTCGAACAAGAACACCCACCCATGTTTCTGATGAATCCTTTGAAACACACACGAGTTATTGAAATGGATGATTGTTTTTGTCTGGTTTTGCAGGCTCTCTCTCTCCCTCTCTCTGTTCTCTCCTCTTAGATCTTTAACCCTCTGAACGAACCCGCAGGTTACAGAGATTGTGAAAAAAAAACGGTAGACCCTCTGGTCAGTTTTGATTTTTCCATGGCTGGAAGCTTTGACAGAGAATCAGAAGCATGCAGTGTTCTAAATCACTTGAACCCAAATTGCAGTTTCATGATCTCTCTGCTTCATTGTTTCTGGGCAGTTCATGATGTCTTCCTAGTTCCTCCTCTTTGGTGTTGTTCTGTAATAACATGGTGGGATATCATTGTTTTGGAGTGCGTGAAATATTTTGTCCAAGGAGATTAATATTTTCTTTTTTTTTTAAAGAAAAAATAAATAAGCTTTGGAGAGACGACGGCCACATGAGCTTCTTTCTCGCGTCACCTAACGAATCTTGGTGGTTGATCCATCTCGTTCGTGAATTAATTACTTGTTAAACCCCTCCCATATTTTTTTTTATTGGAGTAATAGCCAACAAAAATATTCAAACTTTAATTTTATTAAATAATCAAATATCTGATTTTTTTTTGAAAGTGTGATAATATATTTCTCATAAGCAATAGCATTTTTGAAAGTGGTATATTTTTTTTATTATATGTTTCAAAAGATAAACGCGCAATAATTGCCGTTGCTTTCTGGCCCATTTATTAAATCATTGTGATTTTTGTTATGAAACTTGAAATATTATATTATCGTCCATTTTTCCACTTTGTTCATTGCAACTACCAAACTAATCTTGACATAATTAAAAAAATTATGATATTCTTAATCAGAAGACTAATTTTATAATTAAAAGCCGTGGTGCGTACGGAGTGAGTTAATTAATGTTATGATTCGCAGAAAAATAAAATTCCAAAGCCGTTCCGTACGAGGCCTTCTTTAAATGCGCGATCACCTTGTTTGTTACGCTTAACCCGTAATAGCCGGTCGCTCCGCTTTCCAAAGCCCCTTTGGTTCACCGGATATCGTGGGTTTCCCGCTAAATTTGCCTGTAATCCCCAACTTCTCTCTTTTTCTCTTGTTAATTTTAGTAAAATAATTAAAATATACTTAAAAATCTAAAAAAAATTATTGTACTTACTAGTTTATCCATTTCAATCTTAAAAACCGTGTTTTTTTTGTGTTAGTAATATAATATTTGTAAAACATAATATTATTATTTGAATTTTTGGTTAAATTTTTTAAGTTTAAATTTTATATTTTCGGGGATTTTGTAGTTTTTATTAAAACGTCTTTTCACAATAACTTAAAAAATATATTTGTTATAATTTTCATTTATTTTTGGGCTATATTGATAATTGACTTTTTCCTTTACTAAACTTTGTTAAAAGTTTTATTTTTTATAAAAAAAATTAACGTGAAAAAATCGAAGAACCAAAAACTGGTCCCCTGTGTTTCCTCACTCACTCACTCACCCCTTCTCCCTCTCTCTCTCTCTCTCTCTCTCTCTCTCTCTCTCTCTCTCTCTCTCTCGCCGACACTCTCTTCTCACTTTTGTTCTCCTCTTTGTTACCTTTCTGATCGGATCAGTTTAATTATTGCAGCAAAAAGAAATCTTTTTTTTTTCTCCAAGAAAAAACGAGAAGAAGGAAGCAATTCCGTGAGGAAATAGGGTTCTTGGTGCGAGATTTATATTCAAATGCATTCACGGTGGCAGGTATAAATGCTGACGGCACATGGCGGGGAATTTCAATATTTTAAGACAAATAGAATAATGCATACAAAATATTTCGTGTTTGTCCTTTCCTTGAATCCATATTGTCCTTGACGTTATCTGGGCATTTAAAGAACGCCATAAAGTTTGGATTTTTATATTGACAAGGTTCTTGGCACTTGTAATTTCTCAGCTTTTTTTTATAATGCAGAGATCACAAAGGTGAAAGCTTCTTCTGTTGATCCATTCACAAGAAGGAGAGAGATTGGTCGGGGGCAAATAAAAGATGTCGGCGATGAGAGGAACCGATGCTGATAATGTTCATCAGAAGCAGAGGAACAGTGTCTTCTTGGTCGGAATTCGAATGGACGAAAGTGGGAGAGAGCTTCTGGATTGGGTACTCGAAAATGTAGCACAAGCAGGAGATCGTGTCGTTGCAGTTCATGTTTGTTCAAGTTCTTGTAAGCCTTTCTTCTTTTTTTGTCCTGTACGGTTTTTTTCTTCTGTTTTCCGGTTTTTTATGTTCTGGTGTTGAAACATGTTTCCAGATCGTGCCTTGAAGAGCAAGGCATCTCTGGAACAGTACTTGGAAGTTCACAGAGGATTGTTTTCTACTAAGCAGGTGCCTTTTTCTTCGTCTTTCTTCCGGAACCTTCGATTTTACGTAGAGGGTGACAACGAATTTTCAATCTTGAGAGCAGGTTGAACTGAAAGGAGAAGTTTTCACTGGAAGCTCGGTCCAAAGGGTTTTGGAGAAAGAGGCAAAGAGCTTCAAAGCCACAGCAGTTATAGGGTGAGAAATCTTAAGAATGCATTTCAATTCATGCAACTTTGAATCTTCTTCGCTAGTTTCAGATCCCCTGTTTCGGGTTTTTTTCTCTTCGTCTTAGTCTAAAAAGCAGAATCGGGTTTCAGGGATCAGGTTTCAACCGCTAAATGCTGTGCGAAAAAGTTGCCTTTAACGACAGATGTTCTGGCTGTCCACCGGGGAAATATCGTCTTTAGTCGGTGCAATAATCTCCAACTACCTCCAGGTTCATTGATCCTCTCTTACGCCGGAATCTTTACTGAATATATATATGTAGCATGTCTTGGAATATGTATGTTAACCGCCATAGTTCTGGTTATTGCAGTTCTGAAGATGATCTCTAGTCCAAGTTCTGAACTTTCTGGAAAATCTTCAGACAAAGAGAGTGGATTTGAATCTGATGAATCGAGGGATAAACCTGGTGAGGTTAAGGGAGAAATCTTGAAGATGGGTCATGAAAGGAGGATTATTTCGGATAGATCAGTATCTCTTTCGTCTGTTGAAGTTTTGGACCAGAGACCAGGTTGGCCATTGTTGAGAAGAGCTGCTTCAGACATTCCTCAAGCTCGCCATGGGAGGAAACTGTCGGTGGTCCACTGGGTCATGAGCTTGCCTGAACGGTTTCCTCAACAGCAGAATTCTCCGAATCCTGAAACGAGTTTGGTCGAGAATCAACTAAAGGGCATGCTCAGAGACAGCAGCCAATGGTTCTGCTATGATGTTCTTAAGACAGCAACATCTGATTTCTCTTCAGGTAACCTCGAAACCAGTTCGTTCTTGCTCTGTTTTTGGTTCTGAATCTACTGAATCGTTGTCTTTCTTTCTCCTGGTGTCCGATAGAGAATCTGATTGGAAAAGGAGGGTGTAACAAAGTGTACAAAGGCGTTCTTCGAGATGGCAGAGCAGTGGCGGTGAAAATCTCGAAATCATCATCGAAGGAAGCGATGAAAAATTTCGTTCATGAAGTGGGTATCATCTCTTCTCTGGATCACCAACACATTGCCCCTTTGCTCGGAGTATGCATCCAAGAAAACGATCTAATCTCCGTTTACAATTTCTCGTCTAAAGGAAATCTGGAAGAGAATTTGCACGGTAACACGACTTCATGAAAAACTCGTGTACTCAGTTTCATCTTGAACAATCTCAATTCTTAGTCACCAAATATATCAATATGATCCTGCAGGTAAGCAAAAGGGAAGACATGTGTTGTCATGGGAAGAGAGATTCAGGATCGCAACCGGGCTAGCGGAGGCATTAGATTATCTCCACAACCGATGTTCTAAACCTGTGATTCACAGAGATGTCAAGTCTTCGAACGTTCTTCTGTCAGATGAATTTGAACCTCAGGTAACGAAGATGGAAAAGTACTGAGCTTTTCTTCATAAAAGATCTGGTTTTTCAACCTCTTATAACCCTTTTTTTCCTGGTGAGAAAAGTTATCAGATTTCGGGTTTTCGATATGGGCGCCAACTTCTTCTCGGTTTCTGATACAAGGAGACGTGCTGGGAACGTTCGGGTACCTGGCACCCGAGTACTTTATGTACGGGAAAGTGAGTGACAAGGTCGATGTTTATGCCTTTGGAGTAGTTCTGCTTGAACTCATATCAGGAAGAACACCCATCTCATCTCAAACTCCGACAGGACAGGAGAAGAGTCTGGTCATGTGGGTAAGTGTTTCACTGACTCCGCAACGACTCTGTTACTTACAGAGTAAGCAACTTGTCCCGATGAATTTGGGTTTCAGGCGAAACCGGTGATAGACAAAGGGGATGCAAAAGGGCTGTTGGATCGAGATTTGTCTGAGAAATTCGACGAGAATCAGTTTCAGAGGATGGTTCTTGCTGCTACACTTTGCCTCTCGAGATCAGCCACTGTTCGTCCCAATATCAGAGAGGTAGTAATCTCTTAGCCTCTCGATATTGAGCTATTGATTTGGACGCATACCTTTCATCTCCATAGATTGATTTCTACAAAGTTCCGATCTTTTTACCAGAAACCGATACAGAATCAAAGGAATGGTTCTTTTACGTTCTCTGCTACGTCTCTGCAGATACTGAGGCTGTTAAGAGGGGAACAAGAAAAGGAGAGAGAGAAGGAAGATTCAGAGGAAGATCAAGAAGATTGCTTCGACGATGAAGTTTACCCTAATTCAAGCGCGGAGCTGCACTTGAGCCTGGCGATGCTTGACGTAGAAGATAACTCTGTTCCTTCTTCTTCTTCTTCATCTTCTTCAGGAGAGATTCGTTCTTCAAGCTTTGATTAGGGTTTGTTTTGGAGTTTGGTGGATAAACGTAGATAGCTCTGTCAGCTTGTGGGGGAAAAGTTTTCATCTTCCTCCATTTCTTGTAATAATAATAATATGTATGTATGTATGTATGTATGTATGTATGTATGTATGTATGTATGTATGTATGTATGTATGTATGTAGACAAGGCTCAAATAGAATAGATGGTGATTGTGGTAGTATTTGGCACTGATTATGTATGTAGACAGGTGCCGAATAAGTTTTTATTGAAAATACTATATGTATGAAAAGTTATATAGACTATTAAACATGTAATATCATTGTGAAATTATTAACCATATGAATTTTTAAATATATTTTAGCAATTCTTTATTTAAAAAATATAATAATATCACTGTATAAGTTTTAATAAATTCAGATTTATATCGATATGATAAAGTAAATATTGTTATAAATGAATAGTGAAGCTACGGTACTGTTCACGCAGCCGGACACTGTTCACGCAGC